ATACTATAATAAGCACTGGAGATACAAAGATATGCAAGAGATAGTCCCTGCTCTCAAGTTCACAAGTCTAAAAGAGGTGACAACATGAAAACAACTACGTGTGAACAAGAAATAGATATAGGAAGTACAGAGATACAGGATATATACATGCCTATATATCTGGTATCTCTATCTGCTATATCTATTCTATATCTGTATATCTATGTATCCTTTATCTATATCTACATTACATATATAGAATGGACTGGAATGGGGAAAGACTTGAGGCTGGGAGACCAATTAGCAGGCTACTGAAATAGTCCAGGTGATGAGGATGACATAAAGGTTGTAAACCTGGGTCACTTTGAGGATCAGATATTACCCTTGACAAAAAAGGCAATGCAATCAAGAGATTGTTAGTAACTTTGGTGAGAGCAGTTTTGGTTAAATAATGAGGTTGGAAGCCACTCTGCTGAAAGTTCAGAAGAGAGTAAAAGCAGAGGCATCAATTCTGGACAGCTAAAATCAAGCTTGCCATGAGGAGGTATGTGATGATAGCTAGTAAGGATGGACAGATCAAATGAGGGCTGTGAATGAGGGAGACATGGGCATGTTTTTAAACAGTCAGTAGACAGGGAGACATTGAAATGAGACAGTGGAGATGAGGGAGCAATCTACTGGAGAAGATGGGATGGAATGGAATCATTTGTATTTATAGAGAGGGTTTGCTGTTGTGTTGAGTGGGACATTCAGTCAATTAGGGATTGTCTTGTTGCAGTAAGAGCCCATTTAAAATTATGTTGTAATGGAGATAGTTAGCATGGACCTCCAGCCCAAGGTTACAACACAGATAAAGTTCAAATATTTACAACTGGAAAGGCCCATTTAGAGATCAATTAGTCTAATCTCCTCACTTTACAGATGAAATTGAGGCCCATTTATGAAGAACATGGTACACATTTTAAGGTAGCAATAATTCTTTTCTCCTCCAGGTAAATTTTGTAGCCACATTATTGTTTACAAATATGAATTGACTGTTGAGCTATTACTTCAAGAAAAACTGATATGAAAATATTCCATGCCAAATGATTTCATCTCCTTTTAGACAAGGTTATAAGACTGGTAGATGGGGATCCAATAGGAATAATTTAGCAGAGCACAGAGCATAGATTTATAGCGAGAAGGCACCTCAAAAGTCATTATAGGGATTTTAGCACCAAAATCTTTCATGTCATTTTTTGTGGTGGGGGTTGGGTTTCCTCATTTTTCTCAGGCTGAAGGTGCTGAGAGGCATTAGCCAAATCAATTTCAGTACTGATTAGCATTAGCTTACTTAGCTTCTGCTCTTGCTTAGGCAGCCAGGAGCTCAGCATATTGCTGCTGGATTTAGTGATGACACCCACTTGGCTTCAGTCTTACTGCAGTTCAGATTTTCTGAACCAAGTAATAAACCAGCTCCATCACTTTCAGCATCAAGGACTCAGGTTATGTGCCACTACACCCAGCCTACCATATATTTAAAAGGAAAAACTGCTCACTATCTATAACATTACTGGGATACAGTGTCATCTAGAGGAGGGCATGTTTGCAAGAAGATAGGAGTGGGAAAGAGGTTTAATAAGAAGAGGATTTTGATAACAAATAAGAGTTTAAGAGGGCATAATATAAGGGTAAGGCGAAGTCTACATATATATAAGCTAAACTAACTATAATTAAGTCAATATAAGAAGGTAGGTCATCATTATAATGGTCTTCAATCTAGCTGTCACATAAGAATGAAGGGGACCTAGAAGGAGCTATGTTAAATCTGCTGGCTGGCCTATTTGGAAGCAGTATAGCATACAGCAGAAAGAGCTGCATGTAGAGTCAAAGAACTTGGGTTCAAACATAAGTTATTACTACCTAGATGACCTTGGGTTATGTCACTTAATCTCTCTGTAAAATAAGGGGGAGGGGCTGGATAATTACCTCTGAGGTCCTTTCCAGAACTCACAGATGCTCTCAACTTCTTTAACCCTGTCCTCTGCTCTCGGACAAAGCACCATAGTACCATAGAAAGAACACTGGATTTGGGGTCAGAAGATCTGGGTTTGAAATCAACTCTGCTACTAATTACCTATGTTACCTTGTGCTTAATCTCTTTGAGTCTCTCAGTTTCTCTCACCTGTAAAGAGAGAGATTAGACTAAAATGGCCTCTAAGGTCCCATATGATCTGTGACACTACCCAAAATGTTCCATACTTAAAACCTTGGGAAGTCTTGGTCTTCTGGATTGTCACTCATTCCATAAGCATTTAACTACCCACCATCTGAATGCACTGTGCTAAGTTCTAGTTAAGAATCCTCTTTTACCCCCCACCCCCCAAAAAGCTATCCTTTAAGGATTCAGTGACCATACTTCCTAAACCAATATTAAGATATGCAATAACAAAGGCTTGTTATTATTTCCTTTATAGGTACAACAGCACAGAATTTGTCCTGTCCTAGAAAATGCAAAATGTTTTCTCTGATTCTACTACCACCACATCAGTGATGTGGGCCTGGGATTATTATCTAATCCTAAAGAGATTATAATTAGTCCCAGAGACTCCCCAAGCCAAGGAAAAGGCAGTTATGTTCCTACTATACCAAGTTAAAACAATTTTCTGGCAAAAGGTGATTAAGTTCTACAGCTCTGCTACATTTTGTGTTTAATAGGATTCAAAGGCAGTGAGGGCAGCTAATCTGCAACATTGTTTCTATGGGAAAACACATAAAGAATTACCAGTAAAACAAATTCCCATTCCCAAACTTCCACAATAGACTGAGGGCAAGGCCTTTTTCTTTGTTCTTTAAATACCTAACACCAAGCATAGTGCCTGGTACAATTTAGGTGTTTAATACATTGCTTATTCAATCGAGGTTTCTTGGTAACCACTCTTAAGAGTTAAAAAAGAATTATCCAGTGCCCAATTCACATTTATTCTGAACATTTAACTTCACTTTTCACTTTAGATGGTCCCTAAAAATTTCTCTATATTGTACATCTCTGATGTCTGTTCCTAGCTTAACTGTTTTTTTTTTCCCCCAAACTACGATCTTTCCCTTCTCCTTTTTGTTGTTCAGTCATTTTTCAGTTGTGTCTGACTCTTTATGACCCCATTTGGGGTTTTCTTGGCCAAGATACTAGAGTGGTTTGCCATTTCCTTCTCCAGCTCATTTTACAGATGAAGAATGGAGGTAAACGGGTTAAGTGATTTGCCCAGGGTCACACAGCTAGTAAGTGTCTGAAGCCAGATTTGAACTAACCCCAGCACTCTATCCACTGTGCCACCTAGCTGCCTCTTCCCCTATTCAACTACAAAATAATTCTGACCCCAGATGTTCAATGTTGTCTTCCTATTACACAACTTCACTCCAATGAACCTTTTTTTTCATATTCATACTCCACATTCAGGTTTTAAACTGGACTATTAGTTAGCTGTTATCTAAAACTGACAATCAACTTCCCTGTCTTTGTGCATTGGGATATACATTTTCTCTCAATGCCAGGAATAAATGCACCAGTCCTTCCTCATTTCTGCCTTTTGGAATCCTAACCTCTTCCACCTTAGCCTTCTCTAACACTCACAGGCAAAAAAGCATTCTCTCCTGCCTCACACTTTTTTAGAGCACTTTGTATTATTGTCTTTATCTGGGTACATGCCATACATCCACCTCATGGTAGAATATAAATTGCCTGAGGGTAAGAACGGTATCATTTAAAAAAAAAATCTGTATCTTTAACTTCTAGCAGTGCCTTCCACATACTAGGACCCTAAAAATGTGTTGAATTTAATATAACCTATTACAATGTTAATCTCAGAGGCTCTCTACATAATTTGTCTTCGTGAGAATGAGCAAAATCACATTTATCTGAAGGGTCTGGTTTTATATTTTGTGTAGTAAAAAGTTGCTTAAAATTAGCAAATAGCAGGCCAGGACTACAATCCAGTCTAAGTCCCTTTGTGTATACTTCACTTGGGGAATTTTAAGTTCAAAAAAAAATAGCAAAAGGAAAAAAAAAGTACTCTGCACCATAAAGCTGCCGATATTAATAACTGTAATATACATAATATAGGTGCTTAATAAATGCTTGTTGAGTTGGAGTTTCTTGGCAGCCACTCTTAAAAGCTCAATAAAGTTTCATCTTGTTGCTTAATTCACACTTATTCCTTCATGAACTCTTCTTTCATTTTTCACCTTAGCTGTCCCTTCCCAACTGTGTCCTGGGCTTTCTTTTCTCTATCTTCCCTTGGGAGGCTCATTCATTTCTTCGAATTCAATGATCCCTGGCTCACTGAACTGGAGCACAAACGGCTAAGGAAGCAAAGCTCCCTGAGGAGGCACCTGGGTCGTCTTCTGAGCTGGCGACGAAGGGACCTCAGGGACGGGCTCCCCTTCTCATTCACTAGCTATGCGCAGGGGGAGTGTGGAGGGCGGCTGAGGAATCCAGGGCCAAGATTGGAGGAATAGGCTCCCCATGCCCTCCCCACCCTGCAAAGGCTCCGGCCAGGGATCGCTAGCCATTCTCAGAACAAGGAGGCCATTACTCCAGAACCTCCCCAAAGTCACCAGCCCCAGGAGGCCGAGAGGAGCAGCCTGGGCAGCACCTGGTCCCTCCCACCCGCCCGCGGCTGCAGGTGCAGGACCAACGTCCCGCCTCCGGACCCTTTGCCCGCCCCTCTCCAGCTGACCCCCGCAGGGTCCCATGGTGAGGGAGGGGCCTGGGAGACCACGCTGCCCCTCCCCCACCCCCACCCCACCCCCGGTAGTTTCCTCCTCGTCTTCGGGGCGTCTTCCCTCCAGCCGATCTGAGTCTGCAGATCCGTCAGGCGCAAGAGAGACAAAGCGCGGCTTCGAGAAGGAAGGGGAAGGAGGAGAAAGAGGAGAAGGAGAGGGCTCGGAGGTCACTGGTCCCCACGGTAGCCTCACCCCGGTCCGGAGCCAGAGGGAAGAATGGCCGGCGGCCCCGCCCCCGTCCCCATCGCCAGTCCCCTCACCTGCCCAGGGGGCTGCCGTCGTCCCACGGGCGAGAGTTGGCGGCGGCCGGTCCCATCCAGGTACCTGGCCCCTGTCCCCGCTCCCCGGCCCCGCGGCGGATGCGCGTGTCCCCGGCTGCTGCCTCCCGCCGGGCTCTAGCAACCCTCGACGCCCATGGGAGCAGCGGCTGCTGCCCACTTCCCCCTTCGCTGATCCCGCTCTTTCCCGCCCCCGCCCAGGCCGCTAGTCTTACACGGAAATTGCGCCGGGCGGGACTACTTCCGGCAGAAGCCCCTCCCTTCTCCCTGTCCCTCACCCCCCCTCGTCCCAGAGACCCACACTAACCGTCGCTCCCCCTCATCGCGTTGTACAGCACCCCCCCTCTTAAAGACTCCGAAGTCCTCACTTCCGGCAGCGCAAGATAAGTCCCGGACCAGGCGGGGAGAGTTAACTACGGGTTTTGGTTATTTATTTTTTTTCTTCTAGTTGAAGCGCCCTCCTCCGGCAAGCAGTTGTTCCCTCTCTTCTGCGTTAGGTGGGTTGTGGATTGCACCTCCTGCGGATTTGGTTGACGGGTGGGCCGGGTGCGGCGACAGTAGTTGGAAGTGGCGGCGAGCATCACGCCGCTGCTGCTAGCAGCGGGCATGTGAAAGGGGTCTTTTCTGTGCATTCTGTTCAAAAGGCTCAAAAGGAAGGGACCTCAGTTGCTTTGCTCGTTTTACAGATGGAGAAGCTCTCCTCTGGAGAGCGAAGTGAGCGGCCTGAGGCCAAGCTCCGGTTGTAGTTCGAGGCCGAAACAGAATTTGCATATGGGCGTCTTGCAGTTGGAGGGGTCGGGGGTGCAATGAGTGCCCGCGGGGGCGAGGTTGGGCTTAAAAAGTTTGTTTTCGAAATTTCTCCAGCCCAAAGGGCCTAGTTGTGGTTGGCGACATATACGTTAAGTGTTAAGTCAATTTTTCTTCACGCAGTTCTGGAGGTGGGCGGGGCAGAGAGAGAAGGAAGAGGAGGAGAGGAGGGAGAGAGGCATTCTGGGTAATGTAGTGCCCCTTGGTCAGCCAGACTACAAAGTGAGTGCAGAAGCATTGTGTCTGGGAAACTTCTGCTGCTGTGGCTCTTAAGGACTAATAACCTTGATGGACTTAGGCAGGCTATTTAAAGTCCAGTGACCTTTCCTTTATTGCCCTAAGTGTTAGCATCTAAGATCCAAATGTGTTCAGGCTCTGTAAAGGATGACTGAGATTTGGGGGGGAGAGAAAAAAAGCAATGTTAATTGTTTTGAAATAATTTTTTGATTAAAATAATCCAAGTAATTAGATTAAATTGAATAGGTATTTTTTTTTAATAAGTGGATATTTCTGATCAAAAAAGCAAGATAACCTTCAGAATAGAAATTGGTATTTTATCAATAATAACTTAGGCAAGTTTTGATTATGTGAAATCCCCATAGTAAATGATATTAACAGACATATCGATTATTGAGAGAGAAGGCAAGGTCCTCATCCATTATCAAAGCACTGCTCCTGGAGAGGGGAACCTTAGACCTCGAAGCCATATGTGGCTTTCTAGGTCCTTGGGGGCAGGCTTTTGAATGAGTCCTAAGTTTTACAGAACAAATCCTTTTATTAAGGGGATTTGTGCTGTGAAATTTGTATTCAGTCAAAGGGCCGCACTTGAGGACCTGAAGGGCCACATGTAGCCTTCAGGCCGCAGGTTCCCCAACCATGGACTACTTACTTCCTGCCTGACTTTGTAATATGGGAATGCAAACACAAAAACTCAAAACTCACTCTCTCTTACTCTTACTCTCTCTCTCTCTCTTTCTTTTTCTTTCTCTCCCTCCTTCCCCCTCTTTCTCCCTCCCTCTCTTCCCTTCGCCCCCTCCCCCTCATATGCAAAGTTAGATAAGAAGTAGGTAATAATAAAGAGTGAGTGTTAACTGGAAAGATCTGGGAAAGCTTCTCTGAGGAAGTATTGTTAGTAATGTACATAAATATGCAGAGACTTTGGGTGTGGGAATGTGTGAAAGAATGATTTACATCAAGTAGTGCATTGCCCACTGCTCCAGTGTGTTTGTAGTGGAGGAAGTGAACCAGAACAGCCTTCACAGAAGGCACCACTTGCATTCTGCAGAAAAATTTTCCCCCATCTTAGAGCCTCCAAATCATGAAGTATAATTCATGTGAACTATCACTGCTGATCTTAAATTACACTACTGCTGTCAAAAGAGATGATTTAAATACTCTCTTCTGACACATACTTATGCATTTTTAATATTTTTTTGAGAAGGGATTAGGAAAGAGAACTGCATTATTAATATTTTTTTGAGAAGGGATTAGGAAAGAGAACTGAACATCACAAATAATGAAATTGATTATATCTTAACAGACAGGAAATAACTAATTACCAACACAGTCATTTCAGAATTAAATATCTGTGTACAACAGTCAATCCATTGACTGCTCAGAGTAAAGGTCAATATTAATGTCAAATTATAATAAAGGATAGAAATGAGAAGAAAAAAATACTCTCTTCTGTCCTGAAGGACAGGAGGTGACTAAGGAAAAAAAATATTTTGCAGAATTATGCTTTTTGGGACTAGGGCAATGGAAAAGCTCTGTAAGGGTGTATTTGAAGGAAAACAACCTATGAAATAAAAAAAAAAAAAACAACTTTAGATGTCTTTTATCACTGGCATATGAACCAGGACTATTTCAATTGATATTTAGTATTCAAAGGAGCACTTTAACTTCAAAATTAAATTTAGCAGTAGAATTGAGTGATAGGTACTCAAATATTTGTTGATGTTGTATGTGTACTGTTAGAGATATATATACTACCTTTCTCTTTGCCTACTTTTTTTCAAACATAAAAGTCATAGTTTTTTAGTAAAGATTATATTGAGATGGTCAATTGTAACTTAGTCAATAGAATGGTAGCTTTGGAATCTAGAAGATGTGGATTCAAATACAATACTGCCATTTATTGTCTGTCACTTAACCTCTATGTGCCTCAGACAGTTAACTCCTTAGGATTTTACTAACTCTTGGATGATTTGTTCTCCTTAGTTGGTGGAAGGAATGCTGATGAAATCACTGATCCTTTGTATTTTTGTATATGGGTTATGTGCCAGGTGAATATTATAATTGTTAATGTAGACCTAAAAGGCCTGGGTAACTCAGAAACACTATTGCCATCCTTATTAATCTACAGTGTGTGTATCTGCATTTCTGTTAATAAGTGGGCTTGTATATTTAGCAGGAGAGGAATAAGTAATTTCATTGATTGGGATCCATTTTATCCAGAGTGCTTAGTAAACTTCTGGCACATAATAGGTACTATATAAATGCTTATTCCCCTTCCCTTCCCTTACCCTTCTTACTTATTTTGAATTGTTTTTTTTTTTTTTACCTTCGTTATAGTTATTAATGGCAATCAATAAATTTTGGCATTGAGAACACTTAATTGATTTAGCTAACCTCCCCTTGTGATTTACACAATAAACATTTGAGACCCTCTTCTCCTTCCATTCTACTGGTTGCTTTCTAAACTGGTATGAGAGAGTAACATCAACAGTCTTGAGTCCTCAGTCCCTTGAGCCAACCAAGTCATGAGGAATGTCCCAGTAGCTTTTAAGAAAAAACTAGGCTACCTGCCTAGGGCAGGGGGGTGGGATAGGGGGTTAAGATATTGTCCCTACCTCACAACCTTTAAGGAGTTAATGTTCCCTGACTCTTTGTGACACTGTGGACCATAGCGTGCCAATACTATCCAGGGGGTTTTCTTGGCAAAGATACTGGAGTAGTTTGCTATTTCCTTCTCCAGTGGATTAAGAGAGACAGAAGTGACTTGCCTAGGGCCACACAGATGGTAAGTGTCTTAGCCTGGATTTGAATTCGGGTCTTCCTGATTCCAGACCCAGTGCTCTATCCTCTGAGCCACCTTTATGTTGGGAGTAGGAGGGATTAAGTAGAGCTCTAGGTACAGTGTGTTGTCACCCCCTTTTCAGTAATGTGAACCCCAAGAATCCCATGAACCCGCGTTTGAAACAGTCTCCTCTGAGAAAGAGACAAATGAAATCAGGGTGTCTGTGTCCATGGTTAATTTCTCTCAAGGTGGCTTGACATGCATTGCATGGGAGTTCAGTCCAAAACTGGGCCCTCCTAAGGGGGCCAGTTCAGAACTGGCTCGAATTGGATTTTTGTGGGTATGGGTTATATACCCTTCAAAGAGTAGATGTTCCCAAGGGATGCCAATCAACTCTGATTCGTCAAAACACTGTGGGAGGTGGGCTGTATTAAAATGAGGGTCTTTGAATATTTGTTCCAGGTCACTCAGTCCTGGTTGAAGAGACATCAATTTTCATATCAGCTGTCTTGACAATAGGGAGTAATCAACATTTTCCCAGACCTGTCTTGGCAACATAATGAGCAGTAACAGACCCATTTAGATTACTTTTTTTTTTTTTTTTTTTGGTGTGGGGGTTAAGTGACTTGCCCAGGGTCACACAGCTAGGAAGTGTCAAGTGTCTGAGGCAGAATTTGAACTCAAATCCTCCTGACTCCAGGGCTAGATTACATCTTAATGTCCTTCTCAACAGGGACTGAATTTTGAAAGAAAGGGGGATGGGGAAGCTCTGAGTTTCTAAGATAATGATTACTAAGAAAAATAATTTTTCACAGTTAACAATGCTAACATTGCTGTGATTCCTTTTCCCAGGCCAAGAGATTGAAAGCTGTAGGATGAAGGTTATGTATGCTGTGTAGATGACTAGGTTGAGTGTGATATGAAGAGTACAACTAGGTATGATGGGTTATATGAGTTTGCATTCACACCCACTAATCAGGAGTGTGGGCAGCTAGGTGGCTAGACCTGTAATTAGAAAGACCTGAGTTCAAATCCAGCCTCAGACACTTATTAACTGTGTGACCCTGGACGTCACTTAACCCTGTTTGCCTCAATTTCCTCATCTGTAAAATGAGCCAGAGAAGGAAATGACAAACCACTCCAGTAACTTTGCCAAGAAAACCTCAAATTGGGAAACAAAAGAGTCAAACACAACTGAAAAACAACTGAACAAAATCAGGATAGCTCAGCCCTAG